TCTTCGGATCACTCACTACCACTTCTTCTTCAAACCAATCCCCCTTTTCTTCGGAAACCCCAACCATCAAAATGAAGTCCGCTGTCGTCCTCACCACCCTCCTGGCCTTCGCCGCCGCCAACCCCGTTGCCATTGCCAACGTTGACAACACCAACGCCATCGCCAAGCGCAATGTCGAGCTCGAGGCCCGCCAGCTTGGTGGCATCGACCTTGCCACCCTTCCCGGCTTGGGCGCCCTGGCGGGTCTGGGTCTTCCTGGTCTCTCTAACCTCCCCATCAGCCCGAGCAACATTGTTGCCATCCTCACCGGCCTCTTGGCCAGTGTCCTCAGCGTTGTTGGCAACATCCGTAAGTGAATTAAGAGCTCGTAGATCGAACCGTTGCAACTGACAAATCCAAAAGGCCAGGGTGTTCCCGGTGCCGGTGCGATCCCCGGCCTTCCTGCCATCCCCACCATCCCCGGTGTCTCCGTTCCCGCCATCCCCACCGGTGCTGTCAGCGCCGAGCAGCTCACCGCTTTGATCGGTGCCCTTCAGGCCCAGGTCGCCAACGCCACGGCCATTGGCTCCGGCCTCCCCGCCGGCCTCAGCTTGACCCAGCTCCAGCAGATCCAGGCCATCATTGCCACCATCCAGGCCCAGATTGCCCCTCTCGTCTCTGGCACCGGTCTTCCTTCCCTTCCTGGTGAGTACTGTCTATGCCATTCACCTTCGAACAGTTACTGATTCTTCAAATTAGGCGTTCCCGCTGGCGGTCTCCCCGACCTCGGCGGTCTTACCTCCGGCCTCGGCGGCCTTGGCGGCGTCCTCAGCCTCATCACCGGCCTTCTCGGACCCCTCCTCGGTGGTCTTCTCGGTGGCCTCGGCGGCGGCCTCCTCGGTGGCCGTGCTTAAATTCGAGAATCGTCGCAGGCCGGTAACTCATTCGGGCAGGTACTCTGCAGCCACGGAACTGCACACCCATGACGAGTTTCGGCATAATTGACAACGCCCCGTCGGCTTGTCGACCGGGCTTCTCGCAAAGCACTTCTTCCACAATCACTCCACCCACAACTTCCAGCATGCGGTCTGCATGATACCAAAAAGTTTCCGAAGACTTTGAGAGGAAAGGACTGGAACGCGAGGGATTTAGCGGTGATCATTCAACATCAACCGGGGACTTTGAACTTTGTTGCGGGCATCTGGCGAGTCCTAGCGGCTCCTTTTCGCCTTGCTTAATCTCTTGTCTTTAATCATTTTTTACCAACCTAGCTTCTCTTCTATATGTCCCCCAGGACAACACAATAAAAACTGTCGATCCTTAAAACTTATCGTCTCTCACAGTGATACTCTTTATGAGTGGATAGTACCGACCAGCCGCGCAAGAATCGATAACAGCTGATTATTCGGTACGACTATGCCTAGCAGATCAGCTCAAACCGACGTTGTGTCCAGTACACGAAGAAGAGGCGTGTTGAATTGGGCAATATTGCCTTCGAGTTGTGTCTTTTCCATCGAGTACCAAAGCCATGTAATTCGCTGATCAACGCAGTTTGGTTTGCATATGGCAATGATTTGCGAACGAAGGGATGGATGGGCAGAAGTTGAGATGAACCGTCGTTGGTCGTTGCAATGGATGCATACTCTTCGATAATCGAATAGCCAGCCACCCTATCGGGCTATCTGAGATAAGCGCATATTGAGGGGCTGCAAGGGAGCCGATGCCAGGTAGTGGGTACCCGATCTCTCCGTCTCCCCTTCCCCACACACCTACATCATCCATCGAAGCCTCCTCTGCGATCGATAAACCGAATTCGCTATCTTTCAGCTTTGACCATCATCTAGCTTCGTTTTTTGCCTATGAGCTCCCTGACGTCAAGCCACTCACTCGCACAGCCAGCGGCGGGCGTTTGCTTTCAGAGGAGCAGGGTGGCACGCCGGGCAAGGGTACGGCATTGCCGCTGTTGCTTCTGCTCCAGCCCTCTGGCTCTCCCGGTTCCTGCAAGCCTCGAGTCTGCAAGGTCCTGACGGCCTAGCCGTTTCCAAGAAATCCCAAAAATCGGGGCCAAAAGATGACCAGACGATGCCTGACGCGAACCCCACGCCGCCGCGTCTATCGGGTCAATCTCTGCTCTGTCTGAAATCTAGAACAGCGGGACGCGGCGGATCCTCTGGCATCATCCATTGAGACGCGGTGATCGAGGCTTCCTGTTCTTGACTCGAACGACTTTCTCGATCCATCTGTCTGCTGATTGTCTGGTCAGGTTGGTCTCCTAGAATGAGACGGCGGAAGAGTCTTCCGGATCCTACCTTGTCCGAATGCGGTTTGCAACGTCGGTGGTGAACAAAGCTGTTCAAAAAGCGTGGACATTCTTAGCTACCACAAGTCCAGCCCAACCCACGGTGATAGGTATCACAAGAACGGCTGGCTGCGCGTGTTGTTGAGTGCCTCCGAAACGAGGGCCCCGATGAGAACAGCAGGACCCTGACGCAGGATGGCAGACTGCATCGGTCTAGACGCATGATGGCTGCTGCTGGGCGGCGCGCCGGCAGAGTTGCCGTTTGGCGGGCTTCCCCACACTTTTACTCTCCTCCCCCGCCGATCGTTGCCTTCCGCGGTGGAGAGAGTGGGCGGGAGCGTGAGCCAACGAACGATGATCCGTACATACGTCCCCAATGTCGTACCTACCTACCTACATGATCGTTGTGGCAGAGAAGCAGCACCAGACTGGGCGCAGCTTGAATGTCCAATGGCGATGATCCCTTTCTGCCCCTTTCTCTCTTGTCTGTATGCCTGCTTACCTATCCACTGCAATCATTTCGTCAGAGCTACTATGACATGTGCACCAGGACGTAGATCTCGTACCGGTTTGGGCATAACATCACGTGTCGAGCTCATGATTCGCGAGGGCTTGCATGGAGAACGCCGCAGTCATGCCTAGCGTAGCAAGTGTAGCAATACCCACCGCAGAGAAGAAGCGAGCCCCCCCTTCAGATGTTTCTATGGGTTTCATAGCGAAGCCTGGCACTCGATTGTCATCCGTTCCGACCATGGGGTCTCCCTTGCTAATTCCAAGATGCTTCGGGAAGCGGGAAACTCAATGCTCAAAGAGGATAGACCGTGCCATTTTCTCAGGATCGACGACATCTGACTGGCTCTTGATGTCAGACTAATCCAGCATCTTGTCTCCAGCTGGGAGCCATTGCATCGCATCGCAAGCTATCAATCGTGCCAGGCTCAGTGTGATCAGACCATGTACCTGCGCGGGGTAACGAGAGCGAGGGGCAGTTAGGGGTCTATGTCTTGCTTGTCCATCGACTATTACGCACTTCCCGTTGGTTAGAAGACGGCAGACCACAGCAGAAATGATGGAGGGAGGAGAGCACCAGCGCTCGACCTTCTGCCGTGACGTCTAACACTAATAGCTACCATTCATCCAATCCATGTCAGTGTACCTACTTTCAATACCTCGTGACCAGTGCTCCAACTCAGCCAGAAGCGGTGCTTGACAAAGCCATAGCACACCAGCAGACTACTTACACTGGTATTCGACGATGCACCTTTTCCCTCGAGCGAGTTCCCCGTTCCCAAGTCCCCTTACACTAACATGGTAGCTCCCCACGTAGCCAAGTAGCGTTAGTCTTTCTAGCGTGTGATGGTGACAGACGAGTAAACACCGTCATCGTTCTGACCGGCCCATCGACAAGCTTTCCCGCATCCCTTGTGTCAGGGGAGTGGGCGGTGGTCTCATTGGTGAAGTCATTCTCAGGGTGTGGGTGGTACAGGATCACCATGGGCCCTTGTTCGAGCTACCTACCTTGAACGTATGCCCTATGGCAAGTCGAAGCTCGAGCTAGGTGGTGGGTGCTTCGACCCAGCTGTGACGCCGGATTGCTTATATACCTCCTCTTCTCCCCCTCATATACTCGATATCCTTCACTCCATCACAGCTACAAACGACTTGACAACTACACCCATAAGCCATTTTCGATTAGATATCAAGTCACATACACATCAACACCGACCGTCATCATGGACTCAAGCAAGAACGTTGATATCCCCGTCTCCCCTACCGGTCGCAGACGTGTAAGAACCCCTTAAATTCAGCTGCACATGTCACGCTGCTCACACGTGTAAACCTCAGAGCTCCGGAACCCTCTTCCAAGGTCTCATGGACCAAAAGCGCCACGACGGCAACGCAGCCCGTAGACAGTCAATGACAGATTCAAAGCCGGCGCCGGGATTCATCGGGCAAATGTGGCATAAGTAGGTTTATCCCAATGGTTATACTATACACCCCATACTAATGCGCCCTTGTAGCTGGACTCGTGGCCCTGCTAGCCCCCCGAAATAGGATCTTTGTGACGAGAGCATGGCGATAAGGGAGTTTGTAAGATTGAGTGGGTTTGGCGTTTTGGGACATATGAGAAGCCCTTTGAGGTACTCACTTTTGTAAAGTTACACGGCACATATTAGCCTATCACAATTTGCCGTACAGAGTATGGAACATCAATCTCTATTGACTGGGCCTGAATATCCTACAGGACGATCGTGACTAACACATGATTCTCCCAAGCGTGCATTTTGGGAGACCTTGAACTTGGCGGCAAGTTTCAACCATCTGTTGAAGACTGCATTATATAATTATGTAATACACACAAAGCCCTTCGTTAACAAGTCCTTAGCTGATCAACTTGTTCACTACTCCGAGAGTCAAGATGATGGATTTTACATTTCGAGTAGCGGTGTGTGTCTCCCAGAGGGAATGGTTGATCTACATTTTGTTGATCACGTACTCCAGTAACTAAAAGTTTTCAACCCTAACTCAGTTCGTTCATTGCCGCAGTATCCGTCGACGCTAGGAACACCACGACACATCAAAGCTGGCATGTGGTTCATTGCCGTCAACATGTTGCAAAACACAAAAACGAAAGTCAAGTGGGAACGTGGTTGGGGACAAATGTCGGATCTGAATTACGACTGCCGGAACTATATCCTAGGGAATCAAAAGTCATCCCACTCTAAACAGTAATCCTCCACCCGCTGTCCCCCAATGTCGTCAAAGTTTTAACCAACCTCGAAAGTCGGGAACAAGTGCCAGGCTTGCATTCCCATGGCTTGAAGCCAGAATACCCCACCTGTTGCTTCCCCTTGTCGCGTGGTCCCACCGTAGAACCCCAAAACTGTTGATCGAGACGCGAGCTTTTCTCCATGGCCACAGATGTGACCACATCAGAGAGACGCGACCAGCCCAAACTCATGAGCCCTTTCGGGCCCCCAATACAAACGTTGTCCCCACGTATCGGCACCCGGATGGGTGGTGGCGTGTATCGTGGGGTAGATCCTCCTCGGCCTAGTCCGAGATGCTGGCTCCGGAGCAAAGTAGCCTCTGCCGCGAGAAATCGTGAGAGTTGATGTGACGATCTCGGCATGTCGCTCTTACTATCGCGCTTATCTCCTTCAGAAAGGACCCCGTCTGTAGGCACTGGATAGGCAGACTGTTTAAATATATAACAGCCTGCGTACCCCCGTCTGTCAGGATTCCGACAGCGGTTGTGTTGCTCAATCTTTTCCATCAGTCGCCCACAAGCTGCAACGGTGGGTCGGGCTCTTGAGCTTCGCAGCTTAAGAGCACCAAACACAGTACGCGAGTACGTGCTACATCTCGATAGTTCCGCATAATGCGAATTAACACAGTATATGCCCAGAGGGCGATTGTGACAAGAAATACTGACATTGCTGTCGATCTCGATCGTCGTTTCAACCAGGTTGCCTTCGGCGGGCCTGGAAGCCGGTCCGGAGACCGGGGCCAAATCGGCCATCTTCGGGGGTGGGGGCCGGAGCCGCCCACCTGTCCAACGCTCATGATCCGGTGATCCGTGGATCTGAGCGTAATCTGGACATTTTCGTGCGCCAAATGGCGTAATTGGGTTGCCAGGATAACCTTTCCTATTCGCAGAGGGAGACAGACATAATTCCCGAACTGCAGCTGCAAACCCATCCGTGCCGATCCTCAACGTAGAGAATCGGGGCCTTTTAAAGTCCTGCCCAGGACAAATCATGATCAGGGCGCCGTCCTTTTTCGATCCAATGTCCTGTAGCTCAGGTTAGCGGTACGATCAAGGCAGGACAAGTACGGTGCAAAATACTTACTATCCATACCGTTTGGCAAAAGAAAAGAACCGAGAATGCCAAAGTCTCAGACAAACATGTCATTATCGTGGCGGGTCATCAGAATTAGGTAGAGTATGTCGAAGTCTAATTGCTGAAGAAAGGAGATGGTGTCGTACGTCTTGGTTGCCCAGCCTTGGGAACGTCGCAAGTCTAGAGATCGTTGCTAAAGTGGGTTAGTCGGGGAGCTGTCTTGCTAGAGCTATACAAGGTTTTCGGGACATACCACATGTGACTCCATAACGAGTATCATAAACGTAACCTCAATACACGGGCTGTATTTGCCTCTCTATGTCGTCCATTCGTTGCCATGATGCAACCCCAAGGCCTTTTTACGTCCTGCCCAGGACAAAGTGACGAAGAAAAGGCCAGCGAAGCCGAACGGATGTCTTAGGCTAAACTCCAGCCTAACACCGCGTGCGCCTCCAAGGCCCCTGATCGGTGCGCAAAGCATAGCACGGTGATATATTCGTGATGGTAGAGAAAGGGCAGCTCATATGAGCTCACTTGCTCTGTCGGCCGACAGCATGTCTGGAAGCTGGGACTGTTGCCGTTAGGCAAAGCCCAACAAGCAGAACAAGGCTGCGACTGCGTACCTTGAGCAACGACTCAAGATTACCGCAGCACCTTATGTTGCGACTGGCCACGAGAGGCAGCAGTCTGGTCGTCATCGTTGGAGCATGCCGTCGCAGACTAACCTATCGGGATAGAAAGTCTTCCGGGCGGAGGGAGCAGGATCAACGAGCTTGCAAATGATAGCAAATATCGTGAAAGGATGGTAGAAAAAAGAAAGCTGTTGGCTCAGAGGCACAACACGGAAAATTTGCTCAACCATCCATGGTGCGGGGAGATTGTTGATTGCCTCTGGAACTTGACGGCGTCGAGAAGTCGTGGTGGAGGAAGTGAAGATAGGAGAAGGCCGAAGAGGGAGAGGAGGGCTAGAGGTGGGTATTTGTAGGGATGTGTGGAGGGGGTGGTGGAAACTACCTTCATGGGCCAGGGCACCCGACCTGTCGCGCGTCAGTGGTGGTAAATCAACCGGGAGAAGCTAGGAAGCTGGCGCGCTTCCCTCAGCTGCTGCAAGATGCTGGAAAAGTAGCAATTATTGATCAAAAAGGTTTAACAAACGTTCTGACGGTAAGAATACAAATCGAAGAAACGAGACAGCCTACTTTCTCGGGAAGCAGACGTGATAGACTCAAAGCTGCAGCTGCAGGACGCGACATTTTCCGGGAAAGGATAGGCGCACGAGCGCTGTTAAGGCAAGGTACCTCACCTAAGTCACTTTTAGTAAGGAAAGCGCGCACTGTACCTACCTTACATATCTGTACATAGTATCCGTAAAGCTTAAGTACTAGTAGGTTAAGTAGCTCAATGCTCATTTCAATCATTAATTGCTGGCTTTCTTCGCTGGCACTACCTGATACCTGACGAGTTTTGAGTACGAGAAACCAGCCCTGACTTCCATAGAATGAAGAAAGTGGAATTCCATTCCAGCAGGTGGATCTAATTGGTTACATCAGGTCCTTTTCTTTCTTATGGGAGCAACCACCGAGGCTTATCACCTTGGAACAGTGAACTTCACAGCAAAGGTGCGAGGGCAACTATAGCTTATTTGAACGGAGCAGCCGCTGTGGGGTCTGTATTTCATTGAGAACATATACTGACATTCATCTTGACCGATGCCAGCCAAGCCTTTCTGAAGTACCTTACATCATGCTCCTACACTGACCATGTCGCCGACTCGTATCACTGGACGGCGCGTTCCTTCTCCGAGCAGTGCCTTAGTGGAATCATGGCTCATATGAGTGCCAAAGTACACTTTGCCGTCGAACCTTCTGACCTTGCTCAGCGTCACGAAAGGTTCCTGGTGTCTTTCGCCGCTCTCCTGGTCGACGCATACCATCTGGCATCTGCGGCAGGATCCCAGCATAGTGAAATCCTCACCACCAATCGTGAGTTTTGTCCATCCATCCTCTGCCCATGGGAGATGGTCAGGATCTCGAGTTGGCCCGACCAAGATATTGCCTCGGAATGCTTCGGAGGGAACTGGTTCCCCGCCAGTTGCCTGGATTTCGTCGTTGAGGGCGCGCAAACTCGATGTATTGATCAGGAGTATTGGGCTCTCATTGGAAAGTAGAATCTTTGCTGGTGATTGTTCAGAGTCCGAATCCGGCGGAGAAGGCAACTCTGGAGATGCCCCGAAACTCCCCTTTGGGACCCAAACTTGAGGGTGCTGATGTTTCTGCACCTTGGCTTTTGAGTGACGCATACTTGGTCCCTGTCCTCCCGCTGGAAATCGTGCCAATGCGCATGGCACACCGAGAATATCACTGAAGAAGCCGTTGACATGATCGGAGGCATACACTTGCGTCGTAATCTTGTCGCCGCATACTCGTGAGGACCTCTCACGAGGGCCGCCGTTTGTTTCGAGGTAAGTGGGATCCGCAGATAGAGGAACCGAGATCTCGTCGGGTAGGTGAGAGAGTTTTCTCCCTCTGTACGCTACACGCAGCACGCCACCGTCGAAGTCAAGAGTGGGTTTGATGAGGGCCATCTTGGGATACCTCTTCTGGCTTAGTGCCTGTCCTGACCCTTGGTGGACAAGACACCACTCTCTATCCCAAGCCAGACCTTCGGGCATGACTTCCCAGTCCATACCGAGCGGAACAGAAAAGGCGCCACAGCTCTTGATCGGGTAGACGCTGATGCCCTGGACCTGGAACCCTATCGATGAAGTCTGGTTTTCGGCGCGACAGTCATCAACTGACACTTCTTCTCGATAGAATTCATCAATAAAGTCGATTAGGAAGTCAACGTCGGAAATAGTGCTCATCGCACCAAGACTTGCTCGAATAACGCCAGTCGGCTTTCCAGCGATGACATCTTGGTCAGTGCCGCAGCGAAACCCAGCGGAGAAATTCTTCCTCATCTCCCATGGGCTCAGGCCGAGTGCTGAAGCGATACCTCCAGGACTGCAAACGCCGCCGGTTCGAATATGTAAGTTCTTCAACGTGGCTAATTTTTCAAGCTCGTATAGACTGATCCAGGCTCCGGCAGCGTCGCGAATGTTGAACGAGATGAGTGGCCCGCTTCCTACTGAGCCATTAACCTCGCTGCGCCGTTCTGAGTAGATAGTGCAGACGGGCAGCCCATTTCCATGTTTGAGGCTGGCAAGTCCATCGTATAGTCGGTTTCTGAGGAATGCTGTGTGCGATGCTACGCTACTCATGCTTCCGAAGAGCTCTGCGTGAACATCTAGAGCAGCATCCAGTCCTATGATGTTATGAAATGGAAGAGTGCCGTCCTCTAGCCTTTCATGAAGGAACGTCGATTTTGGAGCATGCCATCTTTCTTTTCCGCAGACAACCATATCGACGGTGCCACCCCCGAAATAGCGCCTTTGGTTGAAAATCGGCTCGGCCTGCCTTCTAACAATCAAAGCGCCAAGGTCTGGAAAGCCAAAGATTTTGTAAAGACTCAAAACCGTAAAATCGGGTGCCGTCTCCGAGTAACTGAGATCTAGAGGAGAAGTGGCCACTAGTGAGGCTGCGTCCAATAGCGTAAAAAATTGCCGGTGCGAGACGGCAGGCGACTCTCGCAGTAGAGATGGCCACGTTAACGGGTAACGTCGCCCATCCATATGAGATTGAGCTGAATATGAAAATAGCGTGGGCGAGTCTGATGCTTCCGAATCATCCAGAGGAGATTTCCCATCAATCCAACGTCTCACATCGTCATCCGCAACGCATCTGCTCTCACGCGCCTCTTCGCGAACCCCTATTATACTTGTGTGGCAAGCTTGGTGGTATACGTAAGAAAAGCCCTCTGGTGAGGCTCGGAAGGCGTCGGAAACAAGTTTGATCCCAGCTGTGGTGTTGGAAACGAAGACCAAGTCAAATTCCTCAGGGTCAGCGTTGAAAAAACGGAGAAGTCTGAGGCGAATATCTTCAATGCGAGAGGTGCTATACTGAGAAGAAGGCGAAGCGGAGTGGGGGTTGCCCAACAAGTTTGATGTCAATTCTGCAGAGAATCTGTCAACCAGAGACTTGGCATATAGCGTTGTTCCGGCATGGTCGAGATATATGGAGTCTGTGTTGTTGGTCAGTAAGTTGAGGTAGAATAATTGTAGTTGATGAACCAATGAACCTTTGATCATGGGGAACTCCCTATCCCTGAACTCATCCACTCGGGAGTTATAGCTTCTCATATCCGCGTCAACCATGACGGTGAAAAGTGTTTCCACGAACACCACAGGTCGTAAAAGGCAAAATATGAGTTGGTAGTCAGGGTTGTTAGGGAGGGACATGGAAGTAGGTAAACAGCAACGTTGGGAACGTTAGTGACCTAGTGACCCCTCTGTCTAACAAATGCGCCGGATTAGGTGAGACGAAATGCCCGTCCAAGCCCATGCATATCCGAGTGAATGTGTATATGAATTCAGAGATTGTCTGTGTGTCATTGTGGGAGAGAATCAAAACACATCTGCGAGGAAAGGAAGATTGCCATGAGCCAAGACAGGTATCGTGGGATGGCGGCTTTGTCCGCCGTTCATGCTAGAATGCCGGGCACCTCCGCTGCCTCAATAGGCCGGTCGTCAATTGCCACAAGCCGTCTGTGGCCGTCATGGGGAAACAGGGATAGACAGTGCGGTCGTAGGCGATATAAGCCGACACTGTGAAACCAACCGTGTCCCAATTGCATTATGTAAGGTATCGCTGCGCACGAGCCCGGAAGTAGGGGAGGCCCGAAGACAAGACCCCATCTTTCTGGGTCGCGTACGCACGGACCAAGGTACTCTACCGAGCCGTGTTTAATTGAATCGCGAGAAAGCGCGTTCCGCGACCCTGGCATCGCGTCGTTCCCCGGTCATCGTGCTGGCGCGCGCCTACCACTTAATTAAGACTCTGCGGTTCCACTTACAGCTTTCGACTTCCCACACCTCGATACTTCCTACTTCACTTTTGTTGGTACCTCGAACAAGCTTTCCTGCGTTGTCTACTTTGGAGTTGTCAGTCACGATTGCCTCTTCACCATAATCATAA